ACCCAGACCATGGCACCACCCAGACCATGGCACCACCCACACCATGGTACCACCCAGACCATGGCACCACCCACACCATGGCACCACCCACACCATGGCACCACTCAGACCATGGCACCACCTGACCATGACCATGGACCATGGCACCACCCACACCATGGCACCACCACACCATGGCACCACCACCATCAGACCATGACACCACCCAGACCATGACACCCACAGACCATGGCACCACAGACCATGACACCACCCAGACCATGGCACCACACACCATGCCATGACACCACACAGACCATGGCACCACTCAGACCATGGCACCCAGACCACCAGACCATGACACCACAGACCATGGCACCACTCAGACCATGGCACCACTCACCACACCACACCATGACCATACCACCCAGACCATGGCACCACTCACCATGGCACCACACCATGGCACCCACCCACAGACCATGGCACCACACCACACACCATGGCACCATCACCACACCATGGCACCACACACCCACCACTCAGACCATGGCACACAGACCATGACACCACACACCATGGACCAGCACCACCATGGCACCACACCATGACACCACCACCCAGACCATGACACCACACAGACCATGGCACCACTCAGACCATGGCACCACCCAGACAAGGCACCACAGACCATGGCACCAGACCATGGCACTACAGGACCATGGCACCACTCCAGACCATGGTACCACCTAAACCATAGCACCTACCTACCATACACATACCACACACAGTATACCACACCTACACCTACCACCCTAGCATACACCTACCACACCCTAGCATACACCTACCCACACCCTACTACCACACCCCCCTAGGGCCACCTAGTACACCCTACACCCCTAGCACCCCACCCACACCCTACACACCACACCCCTAGCATACACCACACACCCTACACCTACCACACCCCCCTACCTACCATCCTACCACACCCCTAGCATACACCTACCCCCCACACACCACCTACCACACCCTAGCCACATGCATGCATACACCCTACCACACCCCATGCACCCTGCCATACCCACACCCTAGCATGCACCTACCTACCACCTAGCATAGCATGCACATAGACCACATAGCATAGACCCACACCGTAAGAGATGTTTGTGTTGTGTGTATGTGTGGGCGGTGGTGGTGTGTGACGTGTGTTGTGGTGTGGGTGTGGTGTTGTGGGGGCGTGGTGTGTGTGTGTGTGGTGTGTGTGGTGTGTGTGGGGTGTGTGTGGTGTGGTGGTGGTGGTGTGTGGGGGCGTGTGTGTGTGGTGGTGTGTGTGTGGGTGTGTGGGGAGTGTGTGGGGAGTGTGTGGTGGTGTGATGTGGAGTGTGTGGTGGAGTGTGTGTGTGTGTGTGGGTGTGTGTTGAGTGTGGGGGGTGGTGGTCTGTGGGTGATTGTGCACGTGTGTGTGTGTGTGTGTGTGTGTGTGTGTGTGTGTGTGTGTGTGTGTGTGTGTGTGTGTGTGTGTGGTGTGGTGTGGGTGTGTGTGTGTGTGGTGTGTGGGTGGTGTGTGTGTGTGTGGGTGTGTGGTGTGTGTGTGTGTGGTGTGTGTGTGTGTGTGTGTGTGTGTGGTGTGGGTGGGTGGGTGATGTGTGTGTGTGTGGGTGTGTGGTGGGGTGTGTGTGGGTGTGTGTGTGGGTGTGTGTGGTGTGTGTGTGTGTGTGGTGTGTGTGTGTGTGTGTGTGTGTGGTGTGGGTGTGTGGTGTGTGGTGTGTGTGTGTGGGTGTGTGTGTGTGTGTGTGTGTGTGTGTGTGTGTGTGTGTGTGTGTGTGGTGTGTGGGTATGTGTGTGGTGTGTGTGTGTGGTGGTGTGTGGGTATGTGTGTGTGTGTGTGTGTGTGTGTGTGTGTGTGTGTGTGTGTGTGGATGTGTGTGTGTGTGTGTGGTGTGTGTGTGGTGTGTGTGTAGGTGTGTGTGTGTGGTGTGTGTGTGTGTGTGTGTGTGTGTGTGTGTGTGTGTGTGTGTGTGTGTGTGTGTGTGTGTGGTGTGTGTGTGTGGTGGTGTGTGTGTGTGTGTGTGTGTGTGGTGTGTGTGTGTGTGTGGTGGTGTGGGATGCTGGATGTGTGGTTGGCCGAGTGTGTTATTCTGGTTGTGGCAGAAGTCAACTGCGGTCCCGCTCAAAAGAGTGTGACAAACCCACCTGCAGTAGTGGGTGGGGCCGGTTTGAGGGGCAGGAGCGCTGGCGGAGGAGAAGTGGCGGACGTGTAGTACTGCCGGGTGCGCTGCTGGAGGTGTGTGTGTGTGTGTGTGTGTGTGTCAGCTACACCACCTGGGTACACAGAGGGGCGAGGCGTGGAGCCAGCCAAGTGTGTGTGTGTGTTCCTTACACTGAGCAAGCGTCGACTGAGTGTCTGCCCGCGATACACCTCCACTCTCTCTACCCCATACCACGCCCACGTCCCCCTCTTCCTCCTCCTCTTACCCCTCCGCCGCCACCACCCTTCCCGCCCACCTGGCTCTAAGCTGCTTGGGTATCATCAAAGACACACGGTAAACAGGACAAGTGTAGAGCTGTATGGAAGGCGAGGCTGGCCAGGCCGCCCGCCGCCCGCCTGGCCCAGCATGGAGAGATGTATTAATAGTTGCGCCGCCGCCACCACCACGCTGCCCGCGCCCTTAATGCCCTTTATCGCTCCTCCTACCATTTATTTCTTAATGCACTTAAACCTTGATCAACCTTACTTATCCTCCACAGCAACGATCAAGCAGTCGTCGGTGTCTGTCTGTTGAAGTGTTGGTATGTTGTCCAGGAGGAGTGGATTAAATCGACCTGCGGTGTAATGGTCAGCATCCTCGCCTCGTAAGCGAGCCGGCCCGATTTCGATCCCCGGGCAGGGTGAAACTATGGGCAAGTTTCTTTACGCCATTTGCCTCTGTCTACCCAGCAGTAATTGGGAACCTGGCTGTTAATCGATTTGCGGATCGTATTCCGGGGTAATGGTTAGCCAGTGCAGTTGGCGAGCTGTCCAGTCCTCTCGGACTATTCCTTGACACTGTGTCATGCAGCTCGTTAACTCGGGGTGTGGTAGTTATGTTGGCGACAGCTCCTACACCTACACAAATTCACGCCTAGGAGGCCCTTGGGCCGGCCATCCTCGATTTCGAGGGGCTTCCATTATTGGCCACGAAATTTCCTCATGACTGCCAGGGTATAATTCCAGTCAGGGCCACTAACTGTCATATTATCAACACTGCCTGGTGGCCCCTACAGTCTACAACACGGACCATTAACTCCTTTACCACAACTATCAGTGTTACTATAACCACACTACCACAATTCTACCATCCCCTTCCCTCTACCACCCCTTCCCCTCTACCACCCCTTCCCCCCACCACCCACCTCCCCCCACCACCCCCCCACCACCCCTTCCCCCACCACCTTCCCCACCACCCATCTCCCCTACCACCCACCACCCCCTCCCCCACCACCAACCTCCCCCACCACCACCCTCCTCTACCACCCCCTCCTCTCCAATCCCCCGCCCCTACCCTCCTCCCTCCCACCTCCCCTGCCCCTCTGCCACCCCCTCCTCTGCCACCCTCCCTCTACCTCCCTCCCTTTCTCTCCCTCCCTCTAACCTCCTTCCTAGACCACCCTCCCATCTACTTCGCCCCCTTACCTCCTCCTTCTCCGCTTCTCTATTTCCTCCTCCCTCTCTATTTCTCCCCCCTCTCGTAATCTTAATAACTTTCCCAACAGTAATAAATCAATTCACAGTAACCTCGTAAGTAATTCCTCTGCCATATTATGACGTCATACATATCAATAACTACCATCAGAGGTTAACTTAAGAACTACCAACAGAGATAAGTTAACAACAGGTAAGCAAAGAATAAACAGATAAACAACAAAGAAACAAATAAAGATAACAAGTACCTACAACTACCAGGGGGAAGGTGAAGGGGGAGGGGGGAGGGAAGGGTGAAGGGAAGGGGAGAGGGGAGGGTGAAGGGGGAGGGGGGGAGAGGGGAGGGGGTAAAGGGGATCAATTCAGCTCATATTGCACCTCGTTCACAAGTCTATGTCATTATACGGACTAATTTACCTTATATCACAGTAATTACAGGTGAAGGACAGTTAATATAGCGATGATTCACTTATCCCGTTGTAAGATGATTTAATATTACAATAATTACATGTAGGTAAGATACAGGTAAGTGTTGCCTATTTAAACTGACCTAATAAGTGTCATCACCTCTATCTGTTATCTCTGTTGGGGTTCAGAGTTTTAGGGGTTGGGGTTCAGAGTTTTAGGGATTGGGGTTCAGAGTTTTAGGGATTGGGGTTCAGAGTTTTAGGGATTGGGGTTCAGAGTTTTAGGGATTGGGGTTCAGAGTTTTAGGGATTGGGGTTCAGAGTTTTAGGGGTTGGGGTTCGCAGGTTGAGAGGTGAGATACTGTATTTGGGGCCGCCATAAATCAGTTTCCTCACCAACAATAAAACGACAATGTTTCCATAACACAAAGAGCTTTACGACACTTAACTACTACACCTAAGGTCACTCAGAGGGTTGCCAGCTGACCACTACACCCAGCTGACCTAGTGTAGTGTAGTGATTAGTCAAGAGAACCCGTATTTGATCCCCGGGCAGGGTGAAACTGCGAGCAAGTTTCTTTACGCCATTTGCCTCTGTCTACCCAGCAGTAATTGAGGACCTGGATGTTAATCGATTTGTGGATAGTGTTTCGGGGTAATGGTTAGCCAGTGCAGTTGGTGAGTTGTCCGGTCTTCTCGGACTGTTGCTTGACACTGGGTCATGCAGCTCGTTAACTTAGGGTGTTGTTGTTGTGTTGGCGACAGCTTCTACATCCTGAACAAATTTACGCCTCGGTGGGCCTAGGACCAGCCATCCTTGAACACGAGGGGCAACCATTATGGTACCCGGTGCGTGTGTATTTGTGTGTGTGGGGGCAGACCATGAGGCCAGTCATTATAAGTAAAAAAGTAAGTATGGTACAGACCTTGAGGGTGGTGGTGGAGGTGTGAGGGCCGGTACTGTAGGAGGCACTGTGGTGGTCAGTGACGGCGCCATCCTTAGTGGCGGTACTGGACGTGTGGCCACTGGCTTCCTGCGTCACGGTGGTTCGACTCTCCCCGTCTGTCACAGCCCTGTAAAATAATAATGATAATAATGATAATATTAATAATACAAAAAATTAAAATAATAATAATAATAAAAATAATAATAATAATAATAATAATAATAATAATAATAATAATAATCCAGCCAAATTGTCATACATGTTTACAATTAGATAGACATGTATATAAACTATGCAGGTATTGTATACAGTTCAGCAAGAATATTGACAGTGCAGGTATAGTATACTACAATGGTAAACAGTAAAGCAATTTGACCAAGGACAGCCAACAAAGCTGTCAGCTGCTTATTTCCAATTGGGTTGTATGCTTAATCTTGGTCAGGAGCGATAACCTGATCAATATTAAACATGACACTGCACCTGGACTATCTGAGGCTGACGCCACCAAGACAACATTCTGTGGTTAATGATACAGAGTCACTCAGTGTTTGCGAAAGTCACAGTGTTACGTAAATTCACTATCACAAGTGTTTGAGGGAGAGAGTGAGAGAGGAAGGAATGAGGGAGGAACTGAGTGAGGGAAGTAATGAGTGAGTGAGTGAGTGAGGGAGGGAGGGAGGGAGGGGGAGGAGGGAGGAGAGAGGTGGGAGGAACTTGGTGGGGAAGTGAGTGGTGAGGAGGGAGGAGGAGGAGGAGGGAGGGAGAGAGGAGGAATGAGGAAATGAGTGGGGGAAGTGAGTGGTGAGGGAGGAGAGTGTGTGTGTGAGTTGTGGTCGATACCGAGATCGTGACCACACGGAAATGTCAGCTGTGTGCACAAACACTAGTGGTTGAGGACATACACACACACACACACACACACACACACACACACATATACACACATATACGGCCTCTTCTGTCTGATAGCGTAGTGCGATGGGAGTGTGGTGGCGGGTGTGTGGCAGGTGTGTGGCAGGTGTGTGTAGGCAGAGTGTGTGGTGCTTGAGTGTGTGTAGGCAGGTGCATAGTGGCAGGTGTGTGTGTGTGTGTAGGCAGGTGTGTGGTGTGGTGTGTGTAGGCAGGTGCATGGTGGCAGGTGTGTGTGTGTGTGGGCAGGTGTGTGGTGGCCGGGTGTGTGGTGTGGTGTGTGTAGGCGGGTGTGTGTGTGAGTGTGTGTGGGCAGGTGCATGGTGGCAGGTGTGTGGTGGCCAGATGTGTGGTGACAGGTGTGTGTAGGCGGGTGTGTGGTGGCAGGTGTGTAGGCGAGTGTGTGGTGGCAGGTGTGTGGGCAGGTGTGGCAGGTGTGTGTGGGCGGGTGCATGGTGGCAGGTGTGTGTGTGTAGGCGGGTGCATGGTGGCAGGTGTGTAGGCAGGTGCATGGTGGCAGGTGTGCTGGTGGCAGGTGTGTGGTGTGGGTATGTGGTGGCAGGTGTGTGTGTGTGGGTGTGTGGTGTGTGGTGGCAGGTGTGTGTGTGAGCGGATGTGTGTTGGGAGGTGTGTGGTGGCAAGTGTGTGTAGGCGGATGTGTTGGCAGGTGTGTGGTGGTAGGTGTGTGGTGGCGGGTGTGTGGTGGCGGGTGTGTGGTGGTAGGTGTGTGTGTAGGCGGGTGTGTGGTGGTGGCGGGTGTGGGGAGTCACGTATATAGTACACCCTGAGGCCAAACGTGTAAGTCTGTGTACTGTACCTGTGTATGTCTGTGTGTGCATACACTTTATATCTAGCGGATTACTTGGAGGACTCTTGACTCACCTGAAGTACTCATGACTCACCTGGAGGACTCAGAGAGGGAGGAGGAAGCCATCATGGACTCGACGCCTGACATAAGCACCTGAGCTCCCAGGAACCGGTTGAGGAGCGAGCGAGCCTGATCGTCTGACGTCACCTTGGCCTCGTGGTCAACTGGGGGAGGAAGAGAGAGATGAGAGGTGAGAGATGAGAGGTGAGAGATGAGAGGTGAGAGATTAGAGGTGAGGTGAGAGATAAGAGGTGAGAGATGAGGTGAGAGATGAGAGGTGAGAGATGAGGGCGAGAGATTAGGGTGAGAGAGAGATGAGAGGTGAGAGATGAGAGGTGAGATGAGGCAGAGTTAGAGGTGAGATAAGAGGTGAGAGGTGAGAGATGAGAGGTGAGAGATTAGAGGGGAGGAAGAGAGAGATGAGAGGTGAGAGATTAGAGGCGAGAGATTAGAGGTGAGAGATGAGAGGCGAGATTAGAGGTGAGAGATGAGATTAGAGGTGAGAGATGGGAGATGAGAGGTGATATTAGAGGTGAGAGATGAGTTTCTACCAGCCTCAACACACACATATATATATAATAATAATAATAATAATAATAATAATAATAATAATAATAAGGGCCATTACTATTATTATTATTATTATTATTATTATTATTATTATTATTATTATTATAGTGACATTTTGTTATTAATATTTTACTGTATACGACTACTTAACACTTATTGGTGCACATTTGTATGTTGAGTACACACACACACACACAGAGCCCCCCAGAGCTCCTCAGTGTTTACTCAACATTCATACTTTCTAAGCTCACCTATGCCTCCCCTACCTGGTCTTCCTCCGTAAATGCCACACAACGTAAACACCTTGAAAAAGTGCAAAAGGGGGCATGCAAGATTATTCTGTCCCCTTCCTACTCCACATATCAAGAAGCGCTCAACACACTGACCCTTTTGGCTCTCACTGACCATCACCACGACCTCATCTGCAAACTTGGTGACAAGCATCTGCACCATCCTCAACACCGGCTCCTACTACCACCTGAGATCCCTCGTCCGAGAATTGCTGTTCGACTCCACAACCGCATCCAGCCCATATGAGCACGAACTGATCTCTATAAGAACAGCCCAAACGAGCACGAACTGATCTCTATAAGAACAGCCCAGTCCCAACCATTGTAAAAATTATCAATAACTTGTAATCAACCAGTGTATTCACTCCCAGTCAATCTTACTTTTTGCACTGTCAATATGTTGAAATGCCCTGTAGCTTGACCTTCTCCCCACCTAGTTATTATATATCATATTTGTATCACTTATATTACTTGTATATCATTTGTCAATCAAGAGACCCATTCCCCAATTATGTAACTGTATATTTTCAGCCTTCCGGCTGCCATGTTCTTTCAATAAACCATAAATTATTATTTATTATTACACACACACACACACACACACACCGTAGGGTCAAGACCTATTCAGGCGCTGCTCCTGTGAGCCGCTGCCCCCCTTGGTCAATGTTCGGCACATTCCCCACGTCCCTCTCCCCGACCCATCCTCACCACCGGGATATCAACATAATCAAAAGTGACAATTTCGTTTCGGGAAGAAGTGGGACCAGTGTTGAACAGTGATGAACAGTGTTTAAGCCAGTGAATTCAGCACCAGACAGTACCAGTGATAACCGTGATCCACCAGTGAGTTAAGTACCCCTGGGAACTGACCACCATCTTCTGACAAGGAGGTGCTAATCAGCCCACCCTGGGAACAACAGTGGGTCGGCTTCACACTTGACTTCGAAATAACACAACACCACCCAGTAGGGTGGGGTACTGTGACACCACCCCACACCACCCGGTGTCACCATGACCACGTAAGGTCCTTCATATCAACACCCGAGGACGAGTTACTACACCACGTGAACACCACACCACCTGGTATCTCCATGACCACCCCAGGCCCGGGCCATCAACTGTAAACTATAATAATTTTTATGTTCAATTCATGTTCTTTCTTCTTTCAGTAATGAAAGATTTTGTTAAACGACCCACCCACCCCATGTCTTTGTATGTAATAAGTCATTTATGTCCAATGTATATTTTCAGCCTTCGGGCTGCCGACTTTTTCAATAAACCGTTAATTATTATTATTATTATTATTATTATTATTATTATTATTATTATTATTATTATTGTTTTATTAACTAAATTAAACAATTGAGCTATCGCTACATTTGGGTGTCAGCAGCTTTATACCCGACTCACTGACGGAGAAACACTGACTCACTCGATCACTGGCCGACTCGATCACTGATGGAAAAACACTGACTGACTCGAACACTGACAGAGAAACACTGACTGACTCGAACACTGACACTCGATCGCGGAAACAGAACAACACTGACGCTGACTGACTCGTCACTGACAGAGAAACGCTGACTGACTCGATCGCGGCGGAAAACGCGGCCGACTCGATCACTGATGGAAAAACACTGACTGACTCGAACACTGACAGAGAAACACTGACTGACTCGAACACTGACGGAGAAACACTGACTCACTCGATCACTGACAGAGAAACACTGACTGACTCGATCACTGACGGAGAAACACTGACCGACTCGATCACTGACGGAGAATCACTGACTGACTCGATCACTGACAGAGAAACACTGACTGACTCGATCACTGACAGAGAAACACTGACTGACTCGATCACTGACGGAGAAACACTGACTGACTCGATCACTGACGGAGAATCACTGACTGACTCGATCACTGACAGAGAAACACTGACTGACTCGATCACTGACGGAGAAACACTGACTGACTCGATCACTGACGGAGAAACACTGACTGACTCGATCACTGACATCATGCTGACTGACTGACTCGATCACTGACGGAGAAACACTGACTGACTCGATCACTGACGGAGAAACACTGACTGACTCGATCACTGACGGAGAAACACTGACTGACTCGATCACTGACGGAGAAACACTGACTGACTCGATCACTGACGGAGAAACACTGACTGACTCGATCACTGACAGAAACACTGACTGACTCGATCACTGACAAAGAAACACTGACTGACTCGATCACTGACGGAGAAACACTGACTGACTCGATCACTGACGGAGAAACACTGACTGACTCGATCACTGACGGAGAAACACTGACTGACTCGATCACTGACGGAGAAACACTGACCTCTGCACCCAACAAATGACCTTATAACGTCGATCACCACACCAGTTGACTCCAGACATCGGAGTCATAAACAAAGATGGCGTCTATATTTCTGAGAGACTCTGCCAAACTATATATGAGTGTATACATGTGCCAGAGTCTGCACGGTGGCAGACAGGAGGAGGTAGTGTGGTCGACAGGGAGTGTAGCAGACAGATCACTACCACACCACCACCTGCTGGGACACGCACCATCGCGACTTAGAAAACACTCTGGTCACGCTTGGCCGCACCGCCGTTGCCGCCACCACCATCACTACTGCCCCCCCACAACCTAACCTAGCCAATATTACCACTATCTCTATTATCATTACCTATACGCCGACATTTCACTGAATCGCCCAATTTGTGTAGCGACCACTGTGCCTGCCCTTGTACCTGCCCTTGTACTTGTACCTGTACCTACCCTTGTACCTGTCCTTGTACCTGCCCTTGTATTTGTACCTGTACCTACCCTTGTACCTGTCCTTGTACCTACCCTTGTACCTGTACACCTCAACTAGACACATTCCAACACGCAGGAACCAGTTGCAACTTCTACCTGACACCTCAACCGCAAGAGTGTTTTATTAGGATCACTTGTGTGTACTGTACGAGCTAACTAGTGTACAACCATGATGCGCACACACACACACACACACACACAGTCTCTAACTTTCTATACAAGAGAAACTAACTAACGTGCACCAAGTTTCTCTGTGTACAATATCGTGTGGTATCATAATGTACACTATACAGTATTTTTTTTTCTGTACTTTTACCACTTGGGAATATTTGTACCTGGTCTAGTGATTTTTAAACTTCTGTACCTATACTGTACTTGTATGTGTACTACGAGGACCTTTACTTGTACCTGTACTTGTATGTTTATCCGTTAGCAAGTACCAGCTGACTGACGACCTGATGGAGCGAGTGACTGATAGGCACCATCAGCTCTCGTCGTGGCAACTAACTCACCCCTTACTGTATTCATTTATCCTTAACACACATACGATAACCTTATTATGTACACATACGCACGCACGCACACACACACACACACACACACACACACACACACACAGGACAGTCACCAGAATTCAATACGTTTAACACCTGCCACACTTAACACTAGTCACTTAACACCTGTCACACTTAACACCTGTCACACTTAACACCGGTCACATTTAACATCGGCCACACTAACACTTGCCACACTTAACACCTGCCACACTTGACACCTGCCACACTTGACACCTGCCATACTTCACACCTGCTACACCTCACACCAGCCACACCTCACACCTGCCAAACTTAACACCTGCCACATTTAACACACACTGATACACCTGCTCTTAACACACCTTGATGTAACGTCTACACTGTATTTAGTTCAAAAGGTCTTCACCAAGTTCCTCAAAATTCTGAGTTTAGTGGCGCGTCGGAAAGTTCAGATCTTAAAGTGCGGCAGTAACTTCTTCGAGATTCAATGATTGAAAATTGCACAAATAAGCTCCGCAAGGTTCAGAGTTAAAAAATACGCAACAAGAAAGTGGTTCGCGGTATAAATTTTCAAAGCAGCGTCACTAAGAAAGTTGCTCACAGTTTGAAATCAGACGGGCGGCAGTAAGTTGCTCAAGGCTCACACACACACGATCACTAAGTGTTCCTTGAGGCTGAGTTCAGAGTGGAGCCGAGGTGAGTCCTTACATTCACAGTACGAGAAGTTTGGTGTTCGAGGAAGACCTGCGTGGGTGTAAGAAGGCCCTGTGCGTGTACGAGGGGAACGTCCTCTGTGTGGGTTGTGTTTAAGGCGAGGAGGACCTATGCAGAACAAGGGTCCGTAGTTCTCGACGGCCGGATGAACAGTGTAGAGGAGGTGGGTGTGCTTCTGGGAGGGTGGGTGAGAGAATGGTAGGGGTATGG